CTACAAGTCACATTTGTACAGTACGTGCACCTATAGTTATACTGACTGTCCCAACAATTGTGCTTAACACGTAAAGGATTTCAGCGCGTTATCTTAGTATTCTTAGTCTATAACTAGAAGCAACTGAAGTAAGGTTACACTAACTTATGCGATAATTTCTGTATTGGTAAATACGTGTTTTGCATATTTTACTTCTTTTCATCCAGTTTGCTCATGAATTATGAATCACTTGCTTTGTATTCAGATAGTAAAGAAAAAAATAGGCTATTTGGTGAAAACAAGTATTTGGTTATGCTTTGACTTGATTCATTGTTTTACGCTCGAATTCGAGAGGCTTCTTATCACAAGCATTGGCCAGTTAATGATGCAAGTTCGTCACACACCACTTGTTAACATTCTCGTTACCGATTCAATAGGATGTGACAATCATCTAAATACTATTTAGGTTTTTGATTAAATGTAGAACTTAATTTTTTGACAAACATGGATTAGGCTGTGTAAAAAGTCCCACTGATTGCTAATCAAAAAAATCAACCAGTGTGTAAACGATTGCCCTACATCCCATCGACTCTATCACTTCACATGTTTGGATGGACACATACGTAGTGAGAAGCATTCGTAATCTACAAGCAAGGCTGGCTGACGCATATGTGTGTGGCTGTAAATCCCAATGGTTAAATGAAAGTACATAGTTTTGCAACCTCAAGTTGTGTCCGTTTGTTTTCGATTTCATCGTAGGCATACTGATGGAAATAACTTCCTTGTCGACCGAATTCTCGGGCATTTATCTCCTTCCAGCAGGTTCACTTATCGACTTGGAATAAGCAGATGACATAGTCCTGTTTGATGAAGACGCTGATAAAATGCAGTCTTTTGGTAACACTGAGCAACAATGACAGAATGTTTGGGATGCGTTTCTCCCCCTCTAAATGAACGCTGCTGATTCAGGACTGGCCTGTGTCAATATTTGAACTAAAGATAGGGAGTGAGGTTGTCGAAAGCATCTAAAACTTCACTTATCTCAGGAGTTTGATCAACGCTAACGGGTTGGTATGTGACGAACTTTCAGCACGGATTCAAAAAGCCCGCCTGGCTTTTGCCAACTTACGTCACCTATGGCGAAGGCGAGATATACGTCTATCAATTAAGGGACGAGTATACTGCGCGGCAGTCCGTTCTGTTTTAATTTACGGCAGCGAAACATGGCCATTAAGAGTAGAAGACACTCGTAAGCTACTAGTATTTGACCACAGATGCCTTAGAAATATTGCTGGCGTCTGCTGGGATCACCGGGTAAGTAATAGTTAGGTTAGATGCAAGGTAATGGGGAATGATGGTAAATCAGTTGGTGATGTTGTAAATCTTCGTCGACTGAGATGGTTGGGCCACTCCGTTTACCGCGACGCTCAATGCTGCTTAGTGTTAAGGATGGTTGGAAGAAAGTTAGGGGCGGCCAAATCAAAACGTGGCATCAGTCCTTGAAGCCATTAACTTCTATTCTAAGCCATGTTAGTAGATGCAGACTACTTGGTTGGGGTCCTTGTGACTATCGTAACCAATGTTTGGAGACTGGGTGATATGGCTCAGAATCGACCACGAATTAATTCTTTCTTCCTGTATTATATCCTTATATGCATTTTATATATTACTACCATTTAAGTAACTACTATGAATTTGCTGTTCATCTTGTTGTACTAATTGAGGTATGGCAACTTGGACCGATGCATATATGTGCCTGGTCCTACGTTATAGCTGACTGACAAGCATCTTCCATCCTATAGCATTTGGGTGAGATGCGTCATAGGGCTGATATCAAATAAGCTTTTGTAGTGCTGTGCAGGAATAATAAAGGGTGTATAATAATGCTTATTTAAGCCTTGACCATGCCAAATTTCGAACCGTTATTGTGTATTCAAAAATAGTTTATTCCCACTCGAAGCCTAATTCGATGCTATCGACTTATTATCCAGTGTAGAGCTTTACACTTTTCCTCATTATCCTTGTTTTCTCTTACTATCCAATTTGCCTAATTGGTTTTCAATATTTTCATGTATGAATATCTTAACAGGTATATATGTGATCAAACTGTCTAAAACGTGTTACGCTAAAATATCACAGTTCTGATAATCTTCGTCTCATTGCATTACTGAAATTTATCAAACTAATTGTTTTAAAAAATTTTTCTTCTTAGCTAATGAATCGAATTTTGTCGGCCAAAATACAGCTCAAACTGACATAAATAATGGGAACCGAATATCAGCTGAAGAAATTCGCAGAAATAGACAAGCATTTATCGACAAACTCTCATGCACACCCAGAACAACAGAGTGATTACTGGTCATTAAATGTATTTCTATATATTCCTGTGATATTTTGATGTGTTAGATATTTCCGGCCTGTTGTTTCTTCAATTACATTAAGAGTAATCAAATAAACAAATACACAAACTAGTTTTTCATTCCAATCAACTTTTTTAAGTATTTGTATACAAATATTTCAATGTTTCTGTAAAATACATCAAACTTTATACTTCTTTGTATAGTTCACCTACTTTTTGCATTATATCATAAATGGGAGATCAATGTTATATTCACCAGTTCCAACATAAATTGATCCATATTTGTTTGTACCTGGTAAGTGATATAAAACATATCCAATCCATAAAAGACTTTTGACCAGAACAAGGTTGCCTCCACGTTCAAATTGAATCACCCAACAACCTTTTCAAAGTGTAAAGCGGTAGTTTATAGAAAATTTTTAGTCTAAATGTGTAAAAGCAGCAATCATTGTAATATTCACTTGTAAAGTACGCGACCCCGACAAGTAAAATTTGCATGTATATTAAAATGTATATACATAAATACGCCTGTTATGGGCTGACAACTGGTCAGTAGCTCGTACGTGTAGATGATCCCTTGTAATTTATAGATTTTCAGCCGTTTCAAAAGCTGACCTGATAATAACCGCCCTAGTGAAAAAGATTCTCAAATCTATCACAAAAGTTTTAGGGTTTTTTTTATCCTGTATGCACATATAATTGACTCATTCCAATCTGTTTCCAATGCTGTATTGTAAGTATATAGTGTACTCTTGTTATGGTTAGTTCCTAAGTAACATTATACCTGCCTCAAGGTTACATTATCATCATTTTCATCTTAGTTTTCGGTTGGATAGGTCTGAAGTTGCGTAAGCATCATAGAAATTACCACCTAACGAAGTCTTATTTTTCTTTTAACTTACGTTATTCATGCCTTTATCTCATCAGATATGCAAAACTTTGCCTGTTGTTTCATGACCTTATATATTTGCACAACACAATATTTTCCTGGACATAGCTTTCGAAATGTTCACTGCACTACACAATATATATCGGCCAAAGTTATCACCACGGCAGAACACCTAGAAACAGTTGAGGGGATTAGCTAATATAGAAATAAAGGAACTAAAGCCGGTTACTTTTACTTGACGGACTAAAAACATGAAATGATCATAGTTTAAGAGAAGATGGAATACGAACACGTCAGCGCCATAGTATCCGACCTCGAAGCATGTTATATAAGTTGTCCAACTGTTGGACACATTTATGTCAGTGGTCCCAACCAGGAAACCTGTACCTATCCACAAAGCTTATATCAGCAGTTGTGACCTAATACACGGATGTACGATCTTCATTTGATTGTCTTTAGCTTTCTTCCAATTTCAGCTGATTAGCGTTGGGCATTGAAGGATGTGGTAGGTGGATACTCAGTACATGTTCTAGTCCGGTCAGTTAGTGATGGAGATACACATCACCGTCAACTGATCCTTCATCTTTACCTAGTATTTTATGTCTGACTAGTCACTGGCTCCACCATACACAAGTGATGCTTCGAAGCTATCTGTCACTACTTAGAAATACCCTACATGTTTTTTTTCTTGGAGCACATGTTGCAAATTCATTGGTTGAAGTAAATTAGAAAGGCTCTTAGTAAATCCGACCTTGGGTTGGCAGACATACTGTCAAAGTCTAAATATCTTAATACATTCTTTCCCAGATTTCGCTTATCACACACGAGGGTTGACAAGACATTTAGGATAAGTGGTGCTTTAAAGGCATCATAATACTTTGATTCGAATCTAGGTATGCACAGAGTATCTGAGATGGTGGAGAAGATTTGTAGCCCAGGAGGATGGTCTACCTGAAGTTTGTGCTGATGATGTCGTTTAGAAGAACGATGAAAGCTCCACGACTAAACCATCCAGCTTAGAGAACAAAACTCCATCAAAAGCACAGACTATCTGCTTAGGGTCCTCTTGATTATGTTAACCAACAGCTAGTAACTAAGTGACATGGCTCAAAATCATCCACAACTGCACAGGTTCAATTTTGTTTCCTCTTAGAACCCAAGACCGAATGATTTTATGAATTCTTTTATTTTACTAGTTTATATTTCCCCGAGTTATATCTCCGACCCCCAGTCTTCTCTATTATTATTGATACTGTTACAACTCTGGGAGTAACCCTAACAATTTCGTCTCACTGCTAATAGGGTGTGACAATTCGGATCGATATACATATATGTCAGGTTCTGTGTTGCATATGACTGACTATGATCAGAATAAGCGTTAACATAGATCAGTTGCGATGCGACATCTTGGGTTAATAAGGATAAAAATGCATCCAAGAAACTATTGTTTAGTTGCTTGGCGCACTTAGGAGACTGCGTCTTGCTTTCTGACATTCATGTCCCCCAGTTTCTGTCGAAAGACAAGTCTCTAGATGGGAATTCAACCTAATGTCTTTACTTTGCGCACCACTATTCACTAGTAGTTAAACAGATCCCATTAACCGTTGAAAAATGAACGTTTTGAAATCCAAATTTCCTCTGGGTGATAAAAAACAATCAAAAACTAAACTTGACAATCAAGAGGTTTGTGCACAAGCCTTTGTCTCACTGACCATGCACTTTGCTAAATTGTATACCACGCTTTGAACACTGAAGTCGTGGCTTTACATGAACGGGGATACTAGTTTACAGTCCAAAACATATATGCAGCTAATAGGCCTTTCTAAGTATGAATTATAATGTGGATATTTAATGGATTAAAAGTTTTCGTCCAAATGGACGCGAAAAGGAGAATATTGTTTATTATCAACCTATGAAAAATAATCTCATGATCACCAGCTAATGAGTACCAAATAACTGCCATTATTCCACTAGATTACGAATTAAATGTTAAAATCTCCGGAAGATTTCCTTGCTCACATCCAAAAGTGAATGTAGAGAAATATCTAGTCTTAATAAAAAAGAATCTCACCTTCAGGATTATCATCCTCAATAGTATCTAAAAAATCGATGGCTTTATCCAGCTTTGCTCTTTCGGCTAATGGTTTGTTAGACATATTTACAGGAGGCCGACAATGGAAGTATGATAATAGCTTTGAAGCCTCAGCACAAGTTAAACCTATGTTTGTATGAGTAATTCCATCCATTTACCTTCAAAAGATTTATTTCTCACAACTTGTCCGTTGTACATTCGTATAAATGCACCACGTGGAACAATAACAACCTCCTCTTCCATGCGGTAAATAATAGCAGCAAGTCTATCTTCTTCTTTCATGGTTATCTAATTCATATACCAATCGTTAATCAAACAGAGATTACAAGTTCTTCAGTCTCGACAAGCTCATCACCTTCTCCTGGCATTTGTTTCACCTCAACGTATTCAGCTTCATGTGAAGGATCACCTGTTAGTCTCATTTTGAAAAGTTTACTTTTTTCTATATCTTGTTTCCCTGGTACTGGTAACAACCCCCATATTGTGCAATCTTTACTAAAGTAAAGCGGTTAACTAAATTACTGTCTATATACCTGTACAGATTTGTTTTTTCTTTTAATACATCTTTGCCTATTCCTTGAGCAATGAAATAGTCTCCATTGATTCCTCGAATTATACCCCAAAACGACACATACGAGAACTTGTTTTCGTGCCTCAAAATAGTCAGTGTTGTATTAAGCGTCGCCTTTTGTTCAGGTGTCAAAACGATACCACATGATCCAACATAATCAATTGCAAGATGTAGGTCAGAGGAGTCCATAATGACTATCTAAAAGTAGACAGGCGACAAATCACTATGACATTGTGCCTGATTAGATTATTTAAACAAACAACCTTTGAATAACAAAACAAGTTCTGAAGAAATATTAATTTTGTACTAAGATACGCGACTTTTAAATTGCAGAATAGCTAGAAGTACAAACATGAGCTTTCAATAAATAAGTTTCATGTCCACTGTAATTTGAACAGCTCGTGTCATGACTTCTTTATATTTTTACAAATGGAGAATTCTAAACATCTATTAGTAGTGATCAACTTATATTTTGCGATACCGGTGTTAAAATACTTGAACAGAGAATATGTTTTAGGTGTGTGAACCGATATTATTTGGACTACTTAACAATTAATACAAATGTAGGGTCAGTGAAACGTCACTGGACACTATCCAAGTCACTAAGTGTCGAACAGTTCATTGATCCCCGCCAACGCCGAGGGAAGCTGATGCACACCGAATAATCGTGCTCTGCAGACTGGCCCACACAATTGGTTGTGTCTACTGTCACTAATATATTTCTGTAATAACGTCATTTGTGTTATACGGTGTTAAAGCAGCAATAGTACCCTGATACGACGAAAAGACAATCCACATTAAGTGTTGATGGCGAGGCGGGACTTTAAAGTCATACTATTCCCATCTAACTCGAGTGAGCTCCAAATCACTCGACACAAATCATCTACGTCAGTAATCTACACTGCAAATCATTTTCTGAAGTTGACGATATATTTTAAAAGATCCTTCGCCCTTGCTGTTGAGTAACACGCCTTTTTTTAAAATGCCAACGAACGAAAATTTGATTCTAAAAATTTCGTACCTGGACATTTCCTATAAAACTGTTTTCTAACTTGACATTAGTCCGCTTCACGTTTTCCTCATTCACGGTCTTTCGCGTAAACGGATGTTGCGGCAAACAAATCCCCAAAATAAATAGATATATGAGTCTTTGAAATTGCTGCTAAGCGCTGTTATGTTCTTTAGTCTGTCTACTCGCTCTTGGTACCGAGGATACTTATCTAATCCACATTAAGACCTTGGCGCGATAGGCTGACCGACCTAACCATGAGGCTAGTACGCGTGAGTTGGAAATGGGGTGGAGAGGAGAAAACTATTCTATAACCTGATTGGCTGACAAGTCGCTAATGAGAGAAGACAAGACAAGTGGAACACTACTTGATCTATTTTCGATATCCTGAGTTCAGTTCAGATTAGTGTAAAAAGGTACATGAATAAATAAGTGACTAACCCGACCACAACGCACGATAATTAGGAAAAATACAATTACGCCCAAGCTAGGAATTAGAGTAGAAAATAGGGTGCAAAATATTATGTTTGAATTACAATAGCTTTGGAACAAAAATAGGGCATAGCAAAAAATCATACCTCGAACGAAAGCTTATGTTCTGTAGAATAAATCAGGGACGAAAATAAATGTCATTGTTTTACAAGCTTTGAATAAAGTAGAATAACGTCCCGAAAAATAGCTTTTGTAGTTTGTCAGGGCTACTTGTTTTCCTGTTCACAACAACCGCATTGGTTACACTGGACACACTAGCTGGAGCACTCGGTCACTCATTCGCACCAGATAACCACTGTGTATGCTGCACTACGTATACCTTACAACTACTAGCCAGCTTAGATCAAACGCATCGATAGCTTTACAATCATAAATCTTCCAAACCTTTTATTCCTGACATTTGGTTAGACTGGGTCGGTATGTTTAGATTATAGACGTGTTATGTGTAAACGAGTTGTCAAACCCCGAACGCCGTTGGCACCTTCGCGTTTAATGCTGTTTTTGATGCCGACCCGACTGAATTTACTCAGTAGTGGTCAATAGGCATATCAAGATCAATGTCAGTGATGGACGTTTACTAATCCTTCCACATTTGAAAGTTGTCAGCCACCAGATTCTCAAAATATTTCATAAGGAAGACATTTTATATGGTCGCTTTGTAAGGATGAATCCACCCGTGTCTTTTTGACAGATTCCAGACTCTGTAACCTTAAGTCCCCAAACATTGGATACGATTATAAAGCCGACCCAAAATGGTTATCTGAATCTGCCTGATAAGTGAGCAATTAGATTTAGTATTTAAGTATTCCAATAGTACCCAAGTGATAACTTAAAAATATATCCATAGAAGGTTCGCTTGCTGAGCAGTGTACAAAGTTAGACAGACTTATGGCAACTAGATCACTAGACGATTGGTTATCTCTCTGTTTCTCAAAGTTGATCGAGTTAAGCACGTAGCTGGCCTAGATGATAAAAGGACACCCGTATAAAAAGCATTAAAATCACTTTTAACCAATATTATGTAGAATTATGGTCTACTATGATATTAGTACTGCTCTAATAATAGACCTAATCCTAAATTTGTAGATTTGTCATGATATAACTGCCTGATCTATAAGATCTTACGTGGAAGTCACACCATCAACTACACCAACTCACTGTATCGTATCAATTACCAATACATGATGTAGAACAAGGTTAGGTTAGAGAAAGAACAATATATTTAATATGAATAGAAGATATAAGGTAACATTCAGCAGAGACCACGCCTGCATGGCCGAGCCATGCCACTCGATCAACTCCAGTCCATTCAATTCATTGTTTGCGCCTTCTCCATTGTTAGGTATTTCTCCGCGTTAAATATTGAATACCTATTTTCTGAGTAGTCTCGTGTTCACAGCTTTGTGGATTGTGTGGCTATTGTCCGATGCCACTACAAATACATCTGAGCAATTACCTTCCCTAAGGAATCAAAAGACTTCCCGTAAGACCCAACCAATTACCCAGTAATGCAACTGGCAGGAATATAGGTACAGAATGCAACCATGAGTATCCATAGACCTCTGTGCCCTTGATTTTCTGTTTACACGAACAGAACATGAATGACTACGAAAAGTGATTTTGAGTGCAGTAACGGATACGCGGGAGAAAGATATTCCCTAATTGATCGAATTGTGATATAATTTCTATTCAGATACCAAGAAAAAAAAAGAAACTGAGTTAGTAGTAATCTTGACAGCTTGCGAGAGCGACAGCAATATCCAAGGAGCAGCCGTTAACAGCAGTTCCATACGGTAATTTTCGACCAGACTTCTAAGTCATGTTCCTGCTTTTAATATTTTATAGACTGTAGTGCTATGCAAGCTCACACAGCTTATTCTAGTTTAAGAACAAGTCAGTCTATTCGTCCTACTTGAGCCACATTTTAACCGTGCTAATAATTCACTAGTCAACCTTGACTGTTTTTATGTGTATGTTTGTGCACTTCCTATCTTATTTATCACATGACTGTAACTTATTTTTTGTGACTATAAATATTGTTTTACGCATAGTTAAGTCGGGTTGACTTACATGCCTTACTCACTAACACGAGTTAATTCAACAGTAACAAACAAGGATTGACGATATGTATATTTCGATGACAATTAGTCATATGATATAACTGGAGTCAGATATTTTATTGTATTTGAACATATAAATATAGGTACAAGCAGGCACCAAATACATATGCGATACACAAATCTCACTTGATTTGTTTGGGGGCTGTGATAATGCTCGGGTGTTCAAACCGAAGCAGTTGGTTTTCTTGGGAGGCCGCACCCCGAACCTTCGACCTAAAGGTCTGATCCACAAGGCGGCGGAGCATCGTAAGGAAATGCAGTCCCATGGTAGCCAGTGACCAACGATTGATTCATACGCCATTTTTCCCTCAGGATACTGTAGCCTATTTCCACCATTGGTTTGGAATCAGGGTTTTCCAACTCTTCTAGGTGAACGCCCCGTGTCCACCAACCCGGCTAAAGTGCCGGACATTCGGAGTCAGATATAGGGCTACTAAAAGGCAGGGATGGAAATCTATGGGGTTTAAGTGTGTTATTTCTTATGTTGACCCCTATGTATTCTTTGTTATGATGGAGTCATTAACAAAAAAAGCAGAAACTCCATGAAGAACGACAGAAAAGGCGAAAACGTCTGGTATTCACGCGTGCTCGTGCGAAAATAACCAGTCCCAATAAGATTAAGACGAGAGCTATCTTCGCACCTCACCTAAGGTATTATTATGCTGTAGTATCTGTGTGAACTAATGACTCCTTTATGCATGGTTGCCCGCTCATTACGAATTCCAAACATAATACGCTCATTTGTGCTCATCTGGTCCTACCTACCTCTAATTGCACTACCTCGGAAATTCTTAGTTAGCACATTAATTCGAACGCTTCTCTCATGCAATCGCAGATTCTAAGAAGCCTACTGTTTGACCCACGCTCATGTGTTTTGGGCGCCCCATTGCACAGAACACACTTAGTATTATATATATTAAACGAGATTATTTTCCGAAAATTTAGTAACATGATTAAGTTTGAGATGGTTCAGATTATTGGTGACGTACTGAATAGCCTGGAAAATAGTTTGCCTCGACTGACCATTGAACGTCGTCTGGACATAGCAGTCATAGTGTTTCTGATTATCTTTTCGGGTAAAAGAGGACCTAGTCTCCATCAGACAGAAGACATTAGTTCCAACTCACATTATGTTTACCCATCAAATATGAAGTATGTAGTCAGACAAATGATTGAAAAAAAGGTTGACAGTGCGAACCAGACATCATGATATTGCCTGCCAGCTACAATCTTTAACTTCGCAGTCGAATGTCATGAGACATCGACGTGAACAATTACATCGATGACACGGAAGACATGTGCCGCTGGTTAAAATTTTGATAAATCTATTCCATCTTAAACTTTAAGCCCGATCGATTTCTTTATAGAATTTGCTTGTTTATAAAGGATATTTTATTACTAAATGAAGTAATCGGAGTCATACTACCAAATAAAGACCATACGAAGTAATACCAGCAAAAATCAACTACAGTCAAACGATAGGCAACTGTAGCAATATTTGATTAGTTGAAAGCAGTAACGTATAACTACAGGCTTTCAAAATCACCACTACTTTGACTTTACTCTCTAATAGTAATACATCACATTTGTTAGACATTAGTTGGCTACTAAATAAATAATATG